TGTCAGAGAGGGAATTTAAATGATTTAAAATTTGTGTTGGAGTCATACATGGTCAGTAAACAGAAAGTAAGCTGATGGGAAAACTCCTACATTTTTGGGTGTTGTTCACTGGACTCAGGCCACTGGATGTGTTATTCACTGGGCTACAAAAAGAGGACTTTGACTTGACAATAAAGTCAGAGACCTCGTCGTCATCAGTCAAAATGATTGGGTAATAAAAGGATAAATGGATCCAATGATACAAGCAGGGATAAAAGGACGACTTTAAACAGAACACGCTTGATTATAAAGCCAACCTTTTCAGATGTTTTGTGTCCCTCCTCTTCTCCCCTTTTTGCCTCCAGCTCCTCCCTCTCCTCGTCCATGTGTCTTTGCTGCACCCTGAGGAGGTGCTCTTTCCTCTGCTCATGTGTGAAAAGCAGCTCCTCCTCTGGGCTGTTGTTGCTGTTGGGTTTCTTTAGGGAATCTGTTGACCAATCTGTCTGCAATGTCAGCTGCAATTTTTCCACCACCTCTTTTAGGTCTTCCTGCTGCACCTCCTCATCCACCCTGCAGGACCACGCACTGCAGGGAGAAATGATTGAATCGATTTATCATGGGACTTTTTTATTCAGCAAATCAGCAAATCAAATTAAAGACTGCATCAGCCTAACTTTGGGTTAATGCTACAACCAGAGAAACAAACCCACCATGGCCCCATAGTCTCTGCCACCAGGTATGACCTGCTGTCTGCTGGACGTCCACTGCTGTGCTGCAGCCTGGTGTCATGTAGCTGAGCGACTGATGAGGTCTGCAAGGATTTAATCTCCTTTTCCTTTCCCGACATCTAGAAGAAATTAGACAAATAACAACTCAGGAAGTAATTAACTTAGAGGAAAAACGTGGGATTCCTTAAGTCACACAAGATGGAACGTTACATCTTCATGAAGTTATTTACAGCACAGTGGCATTTAAATGGCATCCTCTCCTGCATTTGTTCCTGAGCATCTCTAAGACATCGTGAATTGTAAGTTAGGGTTCAACAATGATGATCTGACTGGACATTACCTGTTTATCAGAGTCCAGGTATAGAACGTCTCTTGGTCCTGGTACCGTCTCCATGGTCCTTGATGAATTTTCTTGTGACCTTATGCTTCCTTCTGGTTGTTGCCACTCCTCTTTCCCCTGTTGTTTCTCCTCCACTGGCCCTGGTTTCCACTGTGGATCTTGGAGGGACAGTTTCCCAGCCCTGCAGATGTTCTGCACCTCTTGCTCGTTGCGGTTCTCCAACCTGTGACTCCAGTCGCTGAAGCCCTCGTCCTCGTCCAGAACCAAACTGCAGCAAGGCTTCAGCTCTGTGTCCAACCTGAGGTGGGAATGGAGAGGCGTTATGTTTAAGGAGCGAAGAATTCGCTGTCTGACTTGAACTGTTGTCAGAGCTTAGCCAGTAAGAGTCCTGCAGCTGAACATCCAAGTCCCAGAAGACACATAAAAACCATGAGAGCACTAAACATGCAAACTACTACGCCGCGCTTCTGCATGACATCACACCAGAGAAAATGAGGACCATATGCAGTGTATGTGTGGTTTGACTACGCCTCGTAAATAGTGTGGAGGAAAAAAATTAATATCTCAAATTTAAAGCTGTATGTGTTACTTTTATGATCATAAAAGTCATTTTCCTGCTGGAGCAGGTGGCGCTGATGGTGTTCTGCCAAGTTGTACAGACGTTTAGATTTTTACAAGAAAGTAAATCAGAGCTACGCCTCGTCCTTGGGGCAGAATGCACACCACAGCGATGTTTATCCTGAGGTGTGTCTGTCACAGCAGAGTAACTGGTAGAGTTCAGGGTCATATGAACAAACTGTATGTGGGAACAAAACAAGGGACAACGCTTCATTCAGGGTGGGACGTCAACGTAAATACAATATACCGTATTAGATGTAAAAAATGTTTTATAGTCAGCAGGTATTGGGGGTGGTCCTAAAGCAGTGGTTCTCTATTATTTTCTGTCACGCCCCCCCCCCCCTGGGGACACAAAGGTTTTCACCCCCCTCCCCAACCCACACCCCCACGAATTTAAATACAAATCACTGTATGAGTTGCTGCCACCTAGTGACTGAAGGCTTGTTATTAAGCATAACAGCAGTGGAGGAGGGCCCGCCCCACTATTTGAGAAGTACTGTTCTACAGTTAGGCTATTGGGTATAAAACAATTTAAAATTCATCGTGGATTTCATCGAAGCCACAAACAAACTGAAGCTCTTACAGAAAAAAATCTATAACAACAAGCTAAACATTTGACACAGATGAAACACGACACGTGTCCCAGACTGTCGTGACTCGGCCTGGGTATGTTTCCACATATGTCCTGGTTTGGGTTTGGTGTAGTTTGTAATAGTTCTCAGTGGTAGCGCTGGATGTTAGAAAATGAAGGATCGTAATCGCAGGACAGTGTTTGATGAGCACAGAGAATTGAATTTCACAGTGTTGTGAATCCATCAGCTCAGCAGCCTGGAGTCTCAGGCGATGAGGATACTTCCCTGGAGACCTCCTCTCCTGACATCACGTCTCTTAAACAAACAAGCAGGAAGAGATGGTGCAGCACTTTCCTCAGCTCCATCACCTGCAGCTTCACTGGACAAGATCAAGAGTTTCCCCTGTAATTGGCAGCACTAGAGCTGATGTTGAAGTATTTAACACATGCTGCCAGACCTGAGCACGGGGGACTGGTGTGTAACAACCCCACAGTGGTTTTAGGTGAAAACTGTCTCGTGAATGTGTAGTTTGGTGTCTGGAACATTCATTACATGAAGGGCTTACATTAAAAAAAAAGAACCTTTACTTTAATGGCAACAGTTCACATTAGTTTCCGCCAAAATGGCCCTAAGCAGCAGAAAAAGCAGCAGTTACTGCACTTACTGTACTGTAGGATTCCCTGTGGGTTCTTTTGAACAACACAGTTTTAAGGAGTGTCTTGAACGACTGTTCTCAGAACAGAGTCAAAACTTGTAGCCATTTTGGTCTTCAGTCACTACATGACTACAGGCCTTAAAGAGTTGTATGTGTCTTATGTTCTTATTTTAAAGATTCTTTTTTTAAAAAACAATATTAAAAACTAAGACGACACATTAGTAGCAGCATCTATATAACATTCCCACAAGCTGTAGAAACACTACAACTACATTTTTTCAGGATGTTTTGAGGTTGAGATTGTACTTACTCTATATTGATTGTAAGATCATCATCACTGTTGGGTACCGGCCAGGAGGGGCTCTCCTCCCCTCTCTGCCTCTCCCGTGCTCTCCTTCTCCGCTCCCTTTCAACCTCCTCAGCGTCCTCCTGGCTGCGCTGGGCCGTCACCCTGCAGTGGACGTGAACACAAACATGCTCTCAGGAACTTTCTCCCTCAAACCTTTTAGACCTGACATGTCAGCAGGTATTAGCAGCGCTGTATTTACCAACTCACCCAGTGTACGACAAAGCCAGTGTAGCTGCTTATGTAAAAGGAAACGCTCAGCTAAGTATGATTGAAAATCTGAAAAGATGACCTTGTTTTTGTTTTGTTTTTTCTTCCTGTATAAACAAATCTCAATGTCTCTGCTCAGATTGGCCTTTGGATCCAGAAGGTGGGGGTTGATAACAATAACACTTTATTGTCCAAACACATCTGGAGAAGGTTGGACCAACTGCTGCATCGCTGCATTTTATTCTCTAATGGAAACGTGGGAAACGTGGGTGGGGTGAAAGGAGCAGGGAATAGATGGATGATAATGATGGGAGGCTAATCCTGCAGACCTACACCACATAAATCTTCATTCTGGTAATGTAGGTTTGGGAAAATCTAATCAGGGAAGTTAGTTAATGACAATTTTGGAAAATTCCAGTCACCAAGCACGTGTCTGCCCACCTCTGAGTTCATATTCAACATCTCTGCTGAGAGACGAGGTGTTCTGAATTCTCATGTACATAAGTCACTCACCTACGCTAACACATAGGTAACATCAATTTGAAAGATGCCCACATTTAAAATAAAGTTAAAGAAGGCTTCATTTTTTAAGGGACAGCAAGCATAACAGCAGTGGAGGAGGGCCCGCCCCACTATTTGAGAAGTACTGTTCTACAGTTAGGCTATTGGGTATAAAACAATTTAAAATTCATCGTGGATTTCATCGAAGCCACAAACAAACTGAAGCTCTTACAGAAAAAAATCTATAACAACAAGCTAAACATTTGACACAGATGAAACACGACACGTGTCCCAGACTGTCGTGACTCGGCCTGGGTATGTTTCCACATATGTCCTGGTTTGGGTTTGGTGTAGTTTGTAATAGTTCTCAGTGGTAGCGCTGGATGTTAGAAAATGAAGGATCGTAATCGCAGGACAGTGTTTGATGAGCACAGAGAATTGAATTTCACAGTGTTGTGAATCCATCAGCTCAGCAGCCTGGAGTCTCAGGCGATGAGGATACTTCCCTGGAGACCTCCTCTCCTGACATCACGTCTCTTAAACAAACAAGCAGGAAGAGATGGTGCAGCACTTTCCTCAGCTCCATCACCTGCAGCTTCACTGGACAAGATCAAGAGTTTCCCCTGTAATTGGCAGCACTAGAGCTGATGTTGAAGTATTTAACACATGCTGCCAGACCTGAGCACGGGGGACTGGTGTGTAACAACCCCACAGTGGTTTTAGGTGAAAACTGTCTCGTGAATGTGTAGTTTGGTGTCTGGAACATTCATTACATGAAGGGCTTACATTAAAAAAAAAGAACCTTTACTTTAATGGCAACAGTTCACATTAGTTTCCGCCAAAATGGCCCTAAGCAGCAGAAAAAGCAGCAGTTACTGCACTTACTGTACTGTAGGATTCCCTGTGGGTTCTTTTGAACAACACAGTTTTAAGGAGTGTCTTGAACGACTGTTCTCAGAACAGAGTCAAAACTTGTAGCCATTTTGGTCTTCAGTCACTACATGACTACAGGCCTTAAAGAGTTGTATGTGTCTTATGTTCTTATTTTAAAGATTCTTTTTTTAAAAAACAATATTAAAAACTAAGACGACACATTAGTAGCAGCATCTATATAACATTCCCACAAGCTGTAGAAACACTACAACTACATTTTTTCAGGATGTTTTGAGGTTGAGATTGTACTTACTCTATATTGATTGTAAGATCATCATCACTGTTGGGTACCGGCCAGGAGGGGCTCTCCTCCCCTCTCTGCCTCTCCCGTGCTCTCCTTCTCCGCTCCCTTTCAACCTCCTCAGCGTCCTCCTGGCTGCGCTGGGCCGTCACCCTGCAGTGGACGTGAACACAAACATGCTCTCAGGAACTTTCTCCCTCAAACCTTTTAGACCTGACATGTCAGCAGGTATTAGCAGCGCTGTATTTACCAACTCACCCAGTGTACGACAAAGCCAGTGTAGCTGCTTATGTAAAAGGAAACGCTCAGCTAAGTATGATTGAAAATCTGAAAAGATGACCTTGTTTTTGTTTTGTTTTTTCTTCCTGTATAAACAAATCTCAATGTCTCTGCTCAGATTGGCCTTTGGATCCAGAAGGTGGGGGTTGATAACAATAACACTTTATTGTCCAAACACATCTGGAGAAGGTTGGACCAACTGCTGCATCGCTGCATTTTATTCTCTAATGGAAACGTGGGAAACGTGGGTGGGGTGAAAGGAGCAGGGAATAGATGGATGATAATGATGGGAGGCTAATCCTGCAGACCTACACCACATAAATCTTCATTCTGGTAATGTAGGTTTGGGAAAATCTAATCAGGGAAGTTAGTTAATGACAATTTTGGAAAATTCCAGTCACCAAGCACGTGTCTGCCCACCTCTGAGTTCATATTCAACATCTCTGCTGAGAGACGAGGTGTTCTGAATTCTCATGTACATAAGTACCTAGGTCACTCACCTACGCTAACACATAAGTAACATCAATTTGAAAGATGCCCACATTTAAAATAAAGTTAAAGAAGGCTTCATTTTTTAAGGGACAGCATGAATAAATAAAGACTGTAGTCCAGTCAAACCAGGTGAGTGGAGAGTTAGAACCAGTATCAAAATGTAAAAACAATAAACCAGCCAATCTGTCCCATATTGTGCAAATGTAGTATTTCTCCTTGCCTTTCGTGTTTAATCACCTGTTCGTGGCACAACCAGTAGGACATCAGCTCTGAGTATTTACATTAAAAGAAACAAAAGACTAAATGCAGGAGACAGACCGTAAGTGGACACAGTCTAACTGACTACAGAATGGTCCACTGATCCTGATGGATGATACACATGATGCATTAGAGAATCTAATGAAGGAAAAACGAACAAAGTCTCATTTCTCCATAGAGCCACACTCCCATGAAGGTTTTTTTCCAAAGAACAGATGGACACAGCTGTTTCTCTGTATTTGTCTTCGAGAAAAGACAAACGATCTGAGACGCCACAGCATCAGCAGCTACAGTGAATCAACTGGTGGGTGAAAACCAGCCGTATACGTATTTCTGTAGCAACTGTGACAACTGCACCAGTAAAATGTATTTAGAAATGTATTTACTTTCAGGTCGAGTCTCCCAAAAGCAGAATTTCAAAATAACATCCTGAATCACAGAGGAAAGTCGTGAGTCAAGACTTAACCAAACCAGGTTAATTCACAACTAATGAGAGAGATTCTCAAAATTGAAAACAAACTCAAATAAAATAACCTGGATGTAATAATGCACCCTGACTGGGTGGTTCACAAAACATTAAAAACATTTCAAATTATTAATGGAAATTGTTTTGGTTTTTATAGGGCCCAAAATAGGACAATTTCAATTCATTTCTTAACAACCGAAAACATTATCATTATCGTTGCTTGTAGGTTTTTCTCCATTTATCAGATGCTTAGATCACAGCTGCTGCTGCTGCTGCATGATGGGAAACTAACAGAACAAAGCCTCAAGTGTTTTGGTTTTCAATAATTAAATACAAAAAAGAACATCAGAACATCTCAGCCGATTGCACAATCAATTAAATGCAGATAAAATATGACCTCATTTTCAAAGATGTTGTCTTCAACTTATGTTCATCCAACATTTGTTTTGATGAGATCATCACAGAAAACATCTCTAATTTGGAGAAACAAACAAATCAAACTTAAAAGACGACTTAAAATGACACTAATTGAGGCTGTTGGTGAGGATGTTGGCAATGAATGTTGAGTCAAAACATGCTGTGGTCATTATGATGTGGGAAAGTGTCCTACATGCTGCAGCATCACAGTCTCTGCAGATAGATCCAGCTGGCAAGAATCAGTCTTTAATTCTCTGTAAACTGATTTGATGTGTGACCTTTGATTCACGTCTGATCGTCTGGGCTTCAGCAGCACTGTCTGAAACACATCTAGCGCAAAGAGAACAGCCAGTTTTCTGTCTTTATTTGACTTTATTTTTCCTGCAGGTTCGTTAGGTTTTGATTTCAATTTTTCATCTTATATTAAAAAAATCAGAAACACTTTGTCACGTTGTGTCCTGTTGTTCCAAATTACTGACAGTGTTTACCGTCACATTTGTCCAGTTAAAAAAATGTATAAAAGATTGCGGTGGAATGAGACTGGAGTAGGAATTATAAATATTTATGGATAAATATATAATATATAAAAAATATATACAAGAAAAATGCTTTTTCAGAATTGAAAAACATGTTTTTTGCTTTCTCTTTATTTAACATTCCTTTATTAAAAATGGATGAGGTTTTTTTTTTTTTCAAAAAAATGTATGCATTACAAGTTCTGACTAAAATTAAGGTAAAGACACTCTTGTTAGAAGTACAGCTGAATAAACATCTCAATATGACTTTGACAGTTTGCTTATGTACAATTTGAGTTTTGTAAATCAGTGTACAAGAGTGTACAAAATACTGAAATTTTTGCTATATAAATTTGTGCTATATCGGTTGGAATGTTCTGGAATGATCTACGGAGCAGCCTTTAAGAGTCTCACCAATTAAACCTATTAACCTATTTATGCCTCCATCTTAACTATCATCCTAACTGATGTGGGGTTTGTTCATTCCTATTTAGTTCATCTTCTTCCTCTTAACCAATTTTTTCCAGGTCACAGTGGTTGATCCCAGCAGTCTCAGGGCCCCATGAAAAAACAAACAACTGTTCACACTGACATTCACACCAATGAATGTCAGTGGTGTGACATTCACACCACTGCCACACCACTGACATTCACACTTCCACACTTTCCATTAGTGAACAGCTAATGGAATCCAAAATGTTTTTGGACTGTTGGATCAAACTGGACGACCTGGAGAAAATCCACAAACACTCCAGACTCCAGACAAATAGACTGCGAACAAACAAAGGAACTGCTGATCTCCTTGCTGTAAGGCAGGAGCACTTAACACTTTTCCACAGCGTTGTGTTAATCTAAAGAGAAAATGACGATTTCTTTGATATTGTTAATGCCTTCCTGTCTGGTCCAGTGTCTCTAAGGGCGGTTGGGACAAAAGGTACTGTGAAGCATTTAATGTGGAACGAGCAAATTATAGAGGAAATATCTCTGATACACATCACTTTTTCCAACATTTACACAATGAGGCAATGGAGGTCTGGGAAATGGCATTTTCTTTGTGTGTGTGTGTGTGTGTGTGTTGAGGGAACGACCAGAACTCAGCCAAATGATGTCATGGCCATTAAGGCGACTGCAGCTATAAAAGAAGTCATTGAACCCAGGACTCTGTGTCATTTTTCTGTGACGTCACACAGCAATGTTCCACAGAGAAAGGCAGGAAATGTCAAATACAACGAAATCAGGGACAGCAGTTAAAAAAAAAAAAAGTGTGCAGTTTGCAAAACTGCGCCTGGCCATCACACTGGTGTTCTGGTTCCATCTGATAAACAAGAACAGAACATTTAGAACCTGAGAAGATAAGGCTCATAATAAGTATGTAGATGGTCACTGATTAAACCAATCCTGCATAGCAACAGTGAACTATAGAGACGGTGGTCTTGTTATTAATATTTAATGAATGTAATATGTTGCATGTTACTGGGTAAAAGTCCTGTATGTGAGCGTATATGTACTTCCCAGCTAAAAGGGTCAGATGTTGTATAAAAGGTAACGCTGGGATGAATACATTTATCAACGAATAGTGAGTGACATCGCTGTGATGTCAGAAAGGATTGATCCACACAGGGGAAAAAAATCTACCAGGCATGAACCTGCTGTGGTAAATATGTGTACAACTGTATAAAAGACTTGAACTGCTCATGGATTTGCTGACCTCATTCTACAGGAAGCATCTTCCATCAGGTCTGGACCTCGATAAAACTCTGCTTTTGTAGTCTGTGGAGGACCAGTTCTACAGTATAGGAGTAACAACATACACATCAGCAGCAGTTTGATTGATTTTTCCTTCATTGTTTTCCAGTCTCGGTCTGACAGAACCAACTCATGTTTCTACTAGGACCGCTTTAATTAAAGTAACAATAACACGTTAACAAATTTCACTTTTGAGGCCAGCATTTCTTTTGATTTGTGTCTTCTCCAGTCTGACCATGGGTCCTCAGTGTGGATATGTGCAGCAGAAAGCCATCAAGTGACTCAGCAGTAATGTTTACACGATGTAAAAACCTGTTAAGGATTTTTTTTTTCTTTCAAATGGCAAATTCAACCTAATATCCCTGCCAGATGGCACCTCCGACATTTACTGTAAATGTGAACGGTGGTGTGTTGATGTCATTCAATCCCCAAAAAGAAGTGCTCTTTAAGGCACACCATAAGCCTTTGTTTTGTTAACCATTCATACTCATGTTGTAATATTATAAAACCACAAAGCATTGCTTGGAAATGTCCCCCCAGTCCACAACAAGCTGCAACTACTGATGAATAAAGAATACTGTGGAGGTGGTTCCTGACAATATTCTTCACCATGTTTGTTATTGTGAAAAAACAATATGTATTTGAATGAACCAAACTTGTGTGTCACTGCTACATTAACAAAAGTATTCAATGACAACACGTCCAGCATGATATCAAATCAGTTTCATTTGCACTGCTACCTTAGGAATTGGAAGGTTATGCACATTCAGCAGTGGTGTCTGCAGATTGTCTCCTGATTATTGTTATGATTAGTGGTTTGTTGATCATGTCTGTTGAGACTCCTTGCACTTTGTGACTTTCTAAAAAACTTTTTTCTTAACTTTTCTCCAAAAATTGTGATACAATAGGCACACGTATTAATCACAAGTCAAATATTCTCTTGCAATCACAGTCCCTATCTGCAGCTTAATCAGTTTGCATGGAAACATACGTATGAAGATAGATCACTATAAATACCCATTAAAGGCAATGAGAGTAAATAAAGCAAGACAGAGAGAGAACACTTTATAATAAAGTATACAACATAACCTCACACTGCCTTCTAGATCTAATCAGGTTGCCTCACTTTTGGACCCTCACTCCAGTTTTGTTTGTAAACATTGCCTGGGTCAGAGTAATACTCTGGAGGTTCGATGCCGAACGCAGGGTCACATCACATTTATCTTTTTTACAGAACCATTGTTTTTCTACCTCAACAGAAATCATCTTATCTTCCAGATATTTGTGAGGAACAAAAAAAAAAACAACTTGATAAGTGTTTCTTACCTGATGAGGTTCTGCAGGAGCTGTCTGCTGGAACTCCTCCTCTTGATGGACTCTGACATGATGGACTGGACTGCTCTCTGCTCTCCTGGCTTCAGACCCTGGTCCTCGTGTATGAGATCCTGGACGTGGTTTTATTTCTGGTTCTGGTTCTGGTTCTTTCTACATCTGCTCTCTTCCTCTTGCCTCTGTAGCTCATGTCAAACTCCCCCCTCCTTCACTCCCTCTCTCCCATTAGTTGTAGCTTTCTCCTCCCTCCATGTGGTTCTCATTGAAGTCTTTAGACCCCCCCCCCCCCCCCACCCACCCCAACCTTCATCTGAGATCATGTGACAACCTCAGAGTAAAATGATATCATTATGGCAGATCAGTAACAATATAATATGCACGTACACGCAGACAGACCAAAAGGACTTTCCCATTCAAGTTTGTGGTTTCTTTTTTTTTTTTTACCCCACTTCCACAAACCACAAAATCACCTGAAAGTGTGTCTATTTTATTCGTTGATATTGATACAAAGTGTTCATCTACATTAACAACTTTACAAAAATAAACACAAATACCTAAACAAATAAAATAAATGCCCTTAGGTAAACTTTAAGAGCATGAAATTATAATTATTATATTATGAAGAAAAACGCTTGTGTTTTACTTCTGATTGAGAAGATCTTGATCCAACAAAGTCGGGACAAAGGCCGCTTTACCCCAGGACCACATCCATTTTTCACACATTCTACTTAGTATTTTTTGGGGAACTAGTATCTGAACAGTTGTCCATTTGCAGGTAGATTTCGCTAATATTTCTTCCTGTAAAAACATTTAAGCTGCCTGTGGTGGCTGTTGCTGCTCTGGTTTTCCTCTTCATCACGTACAAAACATTTTCAACAAAAAAACCAGTCTGGACTGCAGACAAGTCAGAGTCAGGCCTGGCATTATCCTGCTGTGGCAAACTCTGGCCTTCCTGAGAATACATTGTCTTGGAATAAACATATGTTCCTTTACAATTACCATAAAAGACTCAGCATCAACGGATGTCTGGAATCTGGATGGTCTTTTTCATCCTGGGCTAACAGTCCAGCATCTGTTTTCCCCAAAACAGACTTTAAAATGGATTTATATGAACACATTGCCTTCATCTTTAATTCAATCTCAATTTATCCAAATTTCTGCCATGTTTGCAAAAGCGGATACTTGAGTGGATAAACGTATGACTTACCATCACTGGGCTTTTCAGCTTGTAAAATAAATGGTGGATCAAATGGGACTTGAACAGGCCTGAAAGAGAAAGAGAGAAATAAAGTTGAGCCTACATAGATCGTGAAGACACAGAGGCTCATGGACCACACCAGACAATAACACACAGTATAGGTTCCACACCACTGTGACCAAAACCCAAAACCTCTTAAACAATGTGTCCGTTCCATCTCAGGATCACAAAACCATCCACACAACCATTGCCCATGCTATTATTCACACAGCATCTAAAATGAACCAGGATCTAAAACCTGCAGATTTGGGGTCAGGAAACAAGAGGACCTGGAGAAAACACACACGGGGAGAAGATGAAGATGAAGATGAATCAGAAAATGACATTACAGAGAGGGTGGTTGTTCACAGACCTAGTTAGTTGACTGTAATATAATCAGAAAGGAACAGGAGCCTGGCGACTGAGCTGCTGCAACGTGGAAGGTGTTGGATCTTGTTACTGCTGATGAGCTTATGAATAAGACATGGCGTCTTTGAACAGAAGCAGCTGCTGGAGGCAGCACACTGATCAGTCGGCTACCATGCTTTTCCATTGAGACTGTGTGCGGTAACGTCACAGGGTCATGGTGCCACTCACGCTGCTTGTTTGTTTGTTTTACTTTATTTAGACATCATTATTTTGTTTATCACACTTGACTGAGACTTTGCGCTGAAACACACACACAAGCAGAATGTGCTGAGAAAGTTCTCCCCATCCATCAGTCCAAAACAAACAGATGTGCATTAGGTCATCCCAGCAACTTCAGCCAACATTGATTTACACACACACACACACAGTTTGAGCAGTCAACTCCCTCTCTGAAGTCCCGTGGGTAACTCTCACAAACACCAAATGGTTGCTACAGCAACACTTCCACACCACAGTCGACACAGTGAGTGTCGGCTGTGTGGTGATAGGAGTAGAATGTGGTCTGGCCCGGGTGTCTTTTACTCCACTTTTCTAAAAAAAAAAAAAATTTTTTTTTTTAGACGGATGTTGACAAAATCAATGAGTGTCTGTGAACGGGCATGTACCGAACATCCAACATAATCAGGGCTTGAGGTACTCGATCAAGAAGGTGAATGTAGGTCAGAAACAGACTGCATGAAAATATGTAGTGATGTATCGTTTTGTCGTTTTCTTGTAGTTGTTGCACATATACCATTGTAAGTTAAGAAAGTTACTGCGTAAAAAAAGTTTTGATTTTCTATTGCTGGTGATGAGCAGTCATTACTCTGCCTGTGTGATCTCAGTGTTCTGATCAGGAATACCACACATAATTAAATAAATAAAAATCTACAGCTAATTAATTATGAAGTCTAATTAGTCATAACTAACAAGTATTTGTTTTCCCCTGCAGTTTTCTGGAAACTCTCATAATTTTGATTAGAATGGATGCTTTTGTTAAACCATCGAAGAAAAACTTCCTCCTCTCACCACTGCTCCACTGCCCCCCCCCCCCCCCCCCCATAATTGACTTTACTGTAGAATTCCTACATTCATCTTTCCTAAAAGTTTCATTCATGTGTAGAGTTGATACATTTAATACATTTTCCATAACACTTTACATAGCAATTTTATCAGAACAGAAATGGGAGAAATTTATAATAATAATGGAACTGATTTTGTTTTCAATGACATAAATCAGACTCCTGTTTTAAACTGTCCATCTTAAGGACACACAGTTGGTTCACAGTTAAAGATATAACTTGCTGCTACTGGGCTTTTTTATTTTATATTAAAGCAACCCTGTGAACAAATGGGACTGGCCATTAACTTTTCTTGAAATGTTTAATTCAGTCCAGATGTTAAATTTTAAAAAACAGGGTCAGAATCTCAGACACAGAGTAGCTCTGGAGGTCCATGACATCATCCAACCTTCTGGTAACCATGACTTCTGTCTGTTTGTGTCTCCTGAAATGAACCTGTTCATGCTGTGAAACCTTAAACCTGTTTTTTTTTGTTTTTTCTCTCCACTCTTCTCATTTAATCACTGATAGACTGAGAGACTAGTTAAGCCAATTTGAGAACTCCTGCGTGAGATTTCCACCTGAAGGCTTCTGCTGCTGCTCCAGTCTCCACTTTTCTCCATCCAAGCAGGTCAGTCTCTCACCACAGTAAACACTGCCAGCTGTCTCATAAAGACAGCACCACGTGGAGGAGAGGAGGCAGGGCTGATCCAGACCAGACACACCGGGGAATGGATTCAAGGTGAGTGACGTCAAGGAGGTTTTCAACAGCAGATTGCTGTTGGTAAAACTGGGAGATGATTGGTTGGACTGACATGTCGATTAAATGGCAGTGCGGCCTTGTAACAAGCACTTCATATAAAACTTCCAAAACCTCCCCGAAAGGGGAATAAGGTTTTGGCTTGGTATACGCACAAGTATAAAAATGGCAATTTTTTATACTGCAACTAAAAATGTAACAATTTAGAGAAATGCTGCAGAGAGTGTTGCCACGTTTGACCAATTTTGTATTGTTTTGGGAGAGGAAGCTGTAGCGATTTGGAACAGAAGTAAAAGACATGTTTATAGTGAAAAAACAAACTTTCTTCTTTTTGGACTGTGTAAAATGCGCAATTAATGCAAGGAGAAATAGCATGAGCAAACATTGTAAAAACAAACAACTCCTTCAAAGAACATTTTCAAACTGTGGTACTAGAAAGTGGAGAAAAATGACAAAAACAATACTCTATTTCTACAGTTACTGTATGCTCCTGGTTGGCTCCGATTACCTGTGCTGGCACTTTTACACTGTAACTAACTTTAAGCAGATGTAACTTATATCAAATCAGCCATCAACTCATACACTGCGCTTCCATACTCGATGTAGGTCAATATATAGTTGAATATATGGCTATAACTGTCTGTAACAAAGAAAGTTCCACAGTGTTTCATTATTCATGGGGGGGGCAAACAGGAAGGTTGGTGTGGTTCAAATCGGCCTTATTTATCCACAGCCAATGATCAGCCAGGAAAGACCTGTCCACACCTGAGGACAGGAAACAACTAATAAAAAGATAACATGAAGGACAAGTGGTCATCACAATTGATTTATGAGTTTTGGATTACACATTTTAAAACAGTTTAAGAATAAAAAGTTTTAAAATATCAACTTTGTGTAAAGGACTCTGGATCAGTGAAGAGAATTGTGATTAAAATATGAAGGAAAAAAGATTTTAAAAAACTAATAAATAAACTAATTCAAGTTGTTCTTATTATTACATTTTTGTTCAAAATCTAATGAGTTCTGCTTTAACGTGACTTATTGCAGTGTGAATCAAAGCAACATAGAGCAACAAAGAATTCTGTGATTTTTTTTTCCATCTCCTGCATATTGGACTGACCAATCGCAGAAAAACAGTTCAATTTCATGAAGTAAAACCAAAAGAAATTGGAACTCTGCAACTTTAGCTCATTTAGGGACCTGGTTATTGCGCTTTCAGTTTGGTTTTTCACTAAAGCTATGATCAAGTCTTGGACCTGATATTTAGCTGATCCAAGTGACTCACTGGATTAACCATAAACCAGCTGACACAGAAATTCTGTCTTCAAATAAGACTACACATCAATAGAAATAGAAAATCCTTTAAAGAAGGAAATAAACACTCAAACAGTGCTCCAGTAAGGATTCAAACCAGCATCCCACTGCCCCCAACATTACAGTTTCCTGTTCCCTGAGTGGGCCTTTAATAATTTTTTTTTTTTGTTGGACAACGTCTTCAAAACATTTGCACCAAATCTTGAGCCAAAATTATACTTTTCATTTTCCACCTAGAAATGAATTCTCACAATCAACAAAACATGGCTTTTGTTTGGTGCTTTTACATCTACAGTAGGAGAAGTTGCTGAATATGATCCTACCTCCTCAGTATCAGCCTCCATGACTTTGTGTAGTAAATAGGCCTGGTCTTCGCCAGGCTGCACGCTGACCAGGTCGTGGCCACTGCCCAGATCCCTGCAGTGACCCAGTGCTTCCTCCCACGTCTTATTCTGCTTCACTAGAATCAGGTTGTTTTTAAAACACAAGTATGGAAATTGATCGGAGCAGCTGTGAGTGGACATCCCTTTGCTTAATGACCACAGGGTGACACAATCTCCACTGTTGTTCAGATGAGCCTCAGACCAATTTCTGTACTCTGACACCCCATTGGTCCACTGCCATTTTCCACCTACCAGACAGACATCAAAGGTTAGACACTAATAACAGTTTAATGTGAGTCTGCTTTGTTGGCCTTTTCTTCGACATCCAGCTGCTGCAGTAAGGCTGCCCTGATATTTATCTTTGTTTACAAACTGATGAGGTTTTTTTTTTTTTTTTCATTTCTATCAAAAATATATTCTTTAGCTCATGTTCCAATAAATGTATAATTAACTGGCAGGCAGTGTTATACTACAAAGGTGTGAGCTTGAGCTACAGTTGGAGTTTGTATTCTACAGAAATCATGTAAAGTTGGTAACAATGGAAAACGTTATGAGCTTCAAATGCTGACATAAGAGTTTACTACAGTAAACAATAAATAAAATTTAAGTCAATATAGCCACCGTGACTGTGCAGTCCAGTCCAGACAGGGAATTCCTGTAGGACATTATTGAGCCACTGAAGATAATTTGTTTCAGAAATCAAATTGTTATGCGTCCACTTGCAGTAAGACCTGGCATCTGACCATTTCTTTGTTTGAGGTACAAATATGTTCTGGGTGCCACCGTAACAGATGAAAAAGTTCAGATGATTGCAAGAGCTGTCAATAATTCTGCAAAAAACTCTGAATACATGTTACAAACTGTTTACTGTGTGTCCAAGTTGTAATTTTTATGATTTACACTACAATTTCCCGCACACACTCAAAATCAAATTTTAACTTTTGCACAATGTTTGATCTCATTTTAATTGTGTTTTTTAATAAATCAAAAAATGCTGCAGGAGCAATGTGTGTTTTACAGTGTTGTTGAGAGCTGTTTCTCTTAGATCACAGTTTGAACGTGGTGATCTTTTGATGTCTATATTAAGCAGCAGTGCATTTACACAGAATACATGTATTAACAAAGGCGGTATTGGCTTATTGCTTGTAATGGCAGCTCACAGAATCAGAATACGACAATTATTAGTAGTATTGAACCATCAACTAACAGAAGAAATTTCCTATTACTTATTTGGTGTCACCAGAATATATTACAGAATAATGTCTGACTTTACCACTCTAGATTTACTGAAGGAATGGATGCTGTATAAACAAACAACCAAAAAACAACAAAAGCAACAAAAAAGTCTTCAAATTAATACTCAGGTATTTAAGTTTCAATTAAGTCCCACTTTACCTTTCTGCACTGGAGTCGAAGAGACTACATTTGTCAGGTAAGCTGTAGAAGATGCCATCAGACCAATAATGATACTTGTGAAATTTGTACTTGCCTGTCCATGCATTATAATTATACACAATGTTATCACTTGCATCTTCTTGTGTATACAAGATGGCCAAGTCAGCATTGTCGCTGTGTGACAAAGAAAATAATTGTTAAAATTAAACTTGTATTTTTTCCACAGTAATTTGTAAGCTTACTAAATTACTGTAGGTACGTAGACAGTCAACAATAGCTATATCATTTGGTAATGCATCAAACAAGTATCTTTATTACAAGTCACTCATTGTGGAAACAAAATATAACATTGTTAAACAAAGTCCAAGAAATAATCGTGGGATTTCACAGATTTGGGGTTGCATCTACGTAGGACAGTGTTACTTCCTTAGTAAAGCTGCTTCCTGGCAGTTCTCCTTGTAATGTTTACTCCTCTGCTCATTTTGTTAAGTTTGCCTGTTTTTTTCTTCTTCCCACTTCTCAAGTAAACTTTTAAACACACCCAGAAGGTGTGTTACTAGCATTTAATACCATAGCAAATGATATTTAATGAAGGCAACTATCAAAACAATTGTAAAGGAACTCGCCTGTTGCAGCTGTATTGAGCATCCTCCCACTTCAAAGGCTCAGGGTTGAATGTATACTCTTTTGATACCACTGATCCCAGGCCAGATACACTACTGCAAAGGACTAGAAGGAAGGTTCCAGTAAGGCTTTCCTTCATCATCACTGATGCCAAACAGACCAGTAACTGCATGTTTGTAGGATTATTAAACAGGCACACTCAATTATGTTAAGCATGTTTAAAAAAAAAAGAAAAATCACCAAAACAACATATATTCTGATCAAAACACTGTTAGAAAAGAAAAATAACTGTGATCTTACCTTTTGCTCCTTAATGTTCTCAATACAGTGACGTCTGCCGTAAGAAGCACTTCCTGTTTCTCAAAGTTTCCAGCGTCAAACAGTACATATTGAGTACGGTAACCTAACAGTAAACCTAAAAGAAACCTAAAAAGTAAACTAAAAGTTTACTTTTAGGTAACCTAAAAGTAAACTAACAGCTCCCCTTTCCCATCTTTACAATTTGACTGTTTGCAAATGAGGAATGGATTTACCTACAGACCTGGAAAAACAAAGAGCTAAGGTGCAGGAGCATCAAATCAAAATATACAGGGTAGTGGGGAAATTGGTAGTTGGAGTCAATCCCATTAATTTAGTCAATTTAAACTATATAACCCTATAAACAGTAGAAAGCAGAAAGCTAAATTGACAACTATTAACCTTTATAACTTGTAGAAAGCTAAATTGACAACTATTAACCTTATTTAGTGTGTCAGGAAATCCGATTATTCCTTGGTATGTCCCTTGTAGTTTTTCCATTTTGTTTTATAAAAAAATGATGTTGAAGTCGTAGCGTTTGATCAAATTCCAATGAAAACACTCACCCAGGCATGGTAGGTTAAGTGTAAATCTCAAATATATACTCTTGTGAGTTATTGAACCAACAAAATGTGCTTGTATATATTAAGTCGTCAATTGTTTTTCATGTGGTTGCCGTCATGACTCTCTTACATACGATGTGTTGATCTTCAAATTTTTGAGGCAAGAAAACAGGTTGACATTCCCAGCTTTATTGCAGTGACTCAAACTGCTTTTATATCTGCTTTCACTGTGCAACTAGACGGGGAATTATATCTGGAGAGAAAAAAAAAAAAAAAAAGACAAAATGGCTATCTACGTAAACATTCCATGCCTTGTGATTGTGCATCAGATGCTCACATCTCACCAGGGTGTGACATGCTCCTCTCCAGCTGTGTAAAAGATTCTTCCGTCAGTGCATGAATCTCATCTTTAAGCCGGCGGTGGCCGTCCAAAGTCAGGTGCCAAAAACAAGACTTCCTTTTTCCGTCTCTGCACAGCTGGTTGCAGGTTTTGCGGAAGCTATTGCTGAAGCACAGGTTGTGTCGAATAGTGTTCTTCCAGCCATCTGGAGCAGTCTGAAAGAAGGGAAAGTGCTCTCTGGGATAGAGCAGCAAGAATATGAGGTCAAAATACAATAACACAGGCCACTGTTAAAATGGACTCTTTTTATAGCCATAAAGTCTGTTTTGGTGCCATCAAAAGACTAAGCAATATTAAAAAAATCTGTAATCATACAAGACACAACCAACACTTGGCCCTGCTTTGCCTAATGATCAGTTTATGACCTGGTGAAGTTGTAAATCTGCTGGACTTTGAGGCTCCCGGTGTGGCTGCTCTTTAATGCCAAAGCTATGAGGATGCAATAATTCACTGGTGGACGTGGCCAGCATCCTGGCTTTAGGTTCTTAAACTCCTGGAACACAAGGTGACAAGTAAATTACAATACAATAAAGGCACCATCAGCTCAGTTATACCACCAGTGTCGAAATACATGCACAGGCCAACTCCAGATAAAATGGGCTTCAGGTAAAGCCTTGGGTATTTCTGTGCAAACTTTTATTAAAAGTTACTCAAAACTATTTTATCTAGAGACAATGATTCTAGAATTAGAATAACAATAAACAGTGAAAAATCTTCTACATTAACACTATTTTTCAAACATGGTGAAATAGTCTTTGTAGAGTTTTGTAAAGAAATATCTTTATCATGCATTATTAAGTCAACAAGTCCAAGACCTACTGTCCTCAGGTTGATTTTAGCTGCCCTGCCCTTTCGTCTGGTTTTGGCTGGTCGATAGGAAACATCCTCATTCTTAATCTTAAAAAAAAAAAAAGCAAAAAGCACCACATAGGGTAAATCAGTGCAGTAGTTATTTTCAGATCTTATTGACCCACTAGTTTAAGTTCAAAATCAAACTAATTTTAAAATAGTGTTTGACTTATGACAATTAAAAGTAAAAACTGCAGAATGTGTGGGAATCAGTGACATCTAGCGGTAAAACTGAAGATGTGACACCATAATTGACATGATTATTAAAATCATCCTACGTTAAAGGTTTAATAACTATTACTATTGATTACTAATTTAATTTGTTTTTACATTAATGGATACTGTAAAAAAATGTTATTTTAACAGGTACTAGGAGTTTTCCCAGCACACTCAGCCTTCTGCAAAAAAAAAAAAAAAAAAAAGAAATTGGTTCAGGCTTAACTTCTTAATGTGAGGAACCAATTGACATATGCAAGGTGAAAAATACTGTGCAAAATGAATTGTTGATTAACAGAGTACAAACTTGAGATTGCTTAACTGTAACACAACCTTATTGGAGCAGGTAGAGTGATGTAGATGTTTCTCCCGACGGGGAGTGATTGTAGGATTAAACATCTGGAACTGCGCCGAGTGTGGATGATGGGTCTCTGCAGGATTCAGCTGAGGTATTTCTATTTCTTCCACAGGTTCAAATGGTGTTTGCAGCACCTCTGCACTCCACCCATACTGGATGGGACAGGCAATGTCAGGATTCACCAACAGCCACAGGTTTGGCTTCACAAAGGTGTCTGAATGAGGCAATGATTTTTAAAAAATTTAGAAGTACTACACGTCCAGAATCAATTCTATGGCCCAGCACTTTTTTTCAAAAGGATTATGAATTAGTGATCTGTAGTGGTCAAGTTGTCAATGTCTGCCATTCAAAATTGGAGAATAACAGTTTGGAGGAATATTCATTCATTATCTACAACAGAACTCTTTCAAGTTTAGGAGGTTAATTCATCGAGTGAGAATGGGGAATACAATGACAGTTCACTGCAGAGAAACAAACAACCACTGACATTCACGCTTGCAATATACCTCTGGTCGATTCAGTGTCCAGTTACACTAATCCTGCAACGTTTTTGAACTGTTAAGAGGAATGTGGGGTTCCCAAAAGAAAAATAAAATAAAATAAACATACAGAGAGAACATGAAAGAGACATACAGAAAAAACTTAGGGATTGGACCAGTAAACCTCCTGTCAGGCAAAAATGCTAACCGCTTTTTCACTCCTTTACAGGAATTAATACACGTCAGAAACCGTCTCTCCTGGACTTACTAGGGAAACGGTCAAAATAAAAACAATTATCATTTGAAGTAATATGACTCAAGACACAGGATTTTCTTCATAGTAGAATGCCACTCATTTACCACTTTAAATGTTTTTCATGACAGTGCTCATAAAATACCTCCAGTCAAGCAGAAAAGTTAAATGCTCCTTCTGTTTCATTTTTTTTTTTTTTTTTTTTTTGCTTACCTACATCTTTATCGTACCAAATGAACTCATCTTTTCTCCTTGAAGCTCTTGCACACGGCCTCTGCACCACATACTGATCGCTCAATTTGTCATCTGTCATTAGAGACCACGATTAAACATCACAAGTAACAACGAAACCTGTTGAATCAGACTCCACTCACTCCAGGTGACAGTGACAACAAACCTAAGCCTACAAATAAAACAGCAAAAGGAATTATTTATTTACCATGATAAAACTGGTCTGTCGTGGTGGCCAGTTTCAGCTCCTTGTCCATGTCCCAGTCTGTCAAACCAACAGAGCAGTGCAGGTCAAAGAGGTAAGATTTGGTTTTTAGTTTTAAAGTCATATTGGAATCAATATGCTCCTCTTCCTGTGTCACAGTGGCATTTGAGGAAGTCCAGGTTTACTGATGAACTGAAGCAGCAGCTGGAGAACAACAAGCTGATTGGACCATCATTAGATTTAAGTAACTCCAGCTTGTGAAGCAAACATTGTTGCTATTCTAATAGCAATTTAGTTGAGAAGTTTGCATGAAACCACTAAAAACCACAAAAAGTGATTCATTTTACACACTGACAGACATTGTGTCTACATCTATATGAAGACAGAGAGCTAAGATTATTTGACTGCTACTTACCTTTTCAGGAAAACTGTCAGCAACACAAATGACCAAATCATTTAAAGCTACACAACCATTTGGATTAATGATTAAATAACATATTTTTCCAGATTATTGTTTATATATATTAAAAACATACTGTTTGCCTTTTAACAAACTGTTTGCATTGGGTTTAGCATTTCAACTTCAAGATATAGTTTTAGTTAATTTATTTTTTTTTACATCACATTTACAACACAGGATACCAATCAAAACGGCAACACATCAATGATTCAGTTTACAGCATGACATAACAAAATTATAGAATTGTCTTTAAATATTTTTATATGTATACATGTTATAGTTCTGACATCTTGATGTCTTGAATTTTAAATCTATTGTTTTTCATATTGATTTATTTAGACTTAATGTATAAAGACAGTGTGTGAGAGAGAGGAACTCCTACCTTGTTTTGTTATTCAACTAACGACAATCTACAGCTCACACTTCATTTGTTGTTTTTGGGAATAAACACACACAAATGACATGCTGAACAGACAAGCACTAAAACAGACATAAATAGGGGATATATTATACACAAGTCTGACTGGTGCCAAGTTAAGGAATGTTTTTAGGTTCACTCAGCTCCTAATTCCAATCTCAGAAAGAAGGTGCATGAAGTCCAGCCTGAGATTTCAAAACCGCAATGTGCGTTTTCACGTCGTTTTTCACTGAGGATTTTCATGTGTCCCGGTGTTTGGACAGTAAGTTAGTTTGAGAGTCAAATCAGCCTCATGTTTTTCCTATGAGCTTTTTTAAATTATTTTTTACGTAACCACATCACACTTCTACGGAACCATTTTTATCTTGGATTCTGAAAAAGATTTTTTGTTGGAGACATTTAGACTTTTGACCAAAACTCCCCTCACAACAGGCAAATATGGGTGTGAGGAACTTACTAACACATTAGAAGACTGGGACAATTCATCAATTAACTATCAGAATATTTTAAAAGAGACATCAGTTGTCAAAACCATTAGGCTGAGTGAAATGATGGATGGCAGGGAGAAATGAAGGGGCGTAGGAGCGTTGTTTAAAAAATAGGAATGTAGTTGTCGATCTTGGCGCGATGCCGTTGAGCAATGCACTCAGCGATCCACACAATGTTCCTGCATTCCTGTTCCTTCAACTTGACGTAGGCGTAGAAAACACTGAAATGGAACTGGTTGAGGAACGCCAATTTGTTCAACTTCACCTGCAATAGGCCAAAGATAATGAAGAACAAGATATAATATATAACAGCACTAGATCCTAGACACACATTCTTCTGAATGAAAAAACAATGTTTTTATTCTTCAGTAGCAATTTCACCTACTCTCTAACTCAAATGTCAAATCCAAGCAACATATTTCATTTTAGAACCGAACCTTATTAATCGTCCGCTAATAGGGAAGTAACATTGCATTGTGAATTAGTTAAAAACCGATACAAATTTGTAAACATTCATATTGGTTGAAATAAAAAATAAATAAGGCCTGAGGAATAGGCTGTGTTATCTTAAAAACTCAGTGGTCATAGTATGAGACTACACACTCTAGTACAGTAGGTGGCGGCGTACGCTTAAAAACATTGGCTGTGACCCACTCTTAAACCAAGAGTGTAGCCTTTTCTATTCTTTTGTTGTTTAGTATTCTGACAGTTAGCGAGGTAAATAAGACCAGAGCAGTTTTACATCTCCTTTCAATGACAGGAGATAAACAGTGATGTGAGTGAGTTTATGTGAAGAAATTTGTTTTTGTTTTGTTTGTATTCTGATATTTAAGATACAAATTTCAGTTTATCAGGTAACCAACAAGACCATTTCAATTGGTAATGGTCGTGTGCATAGTTCTTTCAAATAAAGGATCATTGTATTTGGTCATTAATTGTCTGGAGATCATTTTGTGAATCATATCATGTTATGAGTTTATTGTACCATTACACACTAGCTGCTAAGCCATCAGTAAATAACACATTAATAGCTGCCCAATAAATAAAACCATAGTATTTTTTATGTCTCTCCACACTCTTCACATTATTGTCTGCACTACCAATTACAACAAAACCATTCGTACTAATACATCAATATGGTTTATCAGTAAGGTGTATTTTTATGTAGTAAATTTTATATAGATAGAATGATCACGTTTTGTCTTATGTCCTATTTTAAGGATCACAACAACACATTACTGTGTAGATATGATTGATTATTCACTAAGCCAACGTATAAATGACAGGAACGGTAATGAATGTTTCTGAAGATGTGTTACCTCATGCTCAAAGAAACGATCCTCCAGTGTTTTGTCCCCAGGGTTGCTTCCAGCGCCTTCAAACAGCAGCTTGTATTCCTGTAAAAACAAAGATGATTGTGTTCAATACATATATTTAACAATCTGTATAGTGGCCTATTTAATCAACACAGAAGCAGCAGGTTACAGAAATCAGACATTTTGGCAGAGCACTACAAGGATTCATATTTTGATTAAAACTCAAAGTACTCGAATTACAACACACAGGCTAAGATCATTTTGAGTGACACACTTAAAAGTCTGAGACCAAAATGAGAAGAGGTGTCATACACTTACAGGGTAAAAATCGGCAACAGCTTTGACCTGCTCGTAGTCATCTGCTCGAGCCAGCTGAGACAGGCCTTCAGGGTAAAGTTTGCCACAGTGAGGGAAGAGCTTTGCACGGTCCTCCTTGGACAATTCTGTGCCGAAGGAGTTGATGGTAATGATAAAGGCTCTCCTGTCAGCTTCAAACTGTGGCAGAGGGAACATGAGTGTGAACATGCAATGACACCATAAGATAACCTGCTTTGGCTTACGTAAAAAACATCACAAAGTTTTTATTGTCATTTCTGCATTTTGAAGAAGCACAGACTCACCTCCAGAATAGGACACATGGTGTCTGCCGTTGTTCCTCCGAGGTTAGAGCAGAATTTGTAGAAAGCCTCCAGGTAAGCCTGAGGTCGTAGCAAGAAGATGAGGTAAAATTACTGACCAGTGTCTACTGCATCGTGCAGCACTGATGTTACACAAACCATCTGCACTGGGTTTACACTCGAAACTTCAGAACAAACTGTAAACTTAAGTGAATGTGACCTTTGAAAATGTTAGTAGCAGCGGTTGTAGTTATGGTGGCAGTACAGACATGGTGACTGAGCTGCCCTATAAATCCATATGTAATATTTCTTAAACAAAAAACAATAAAATTAAAAACAAAAAACTAAAGATAATATAAATAGTTTATTAATGAAGTCATTTTAAAATTTCTACTTGGTTAATGATACATCATGTATGGTATTTTACAACAACAAGAAGTCATTTTAAAATAAGTATGTGTACTATAGTATAATTACCTTATAAAGTGTGTTACGAATGATTTCAATATTCATTTCATCCAAGTCCTGTTCAGATATACAGTCCTGGAAGAATGCAGCTGAAAAAATATTTTTTGTTAGCCAACATAATAGTAACTGACATAGTTCAATATTTGCTTTATAGTAGATATTAAGAAGTCTCTGCACAACGATGAACATGGTGTCACCAGTACATACCCAGTGGTGTGTCCACAAG